ATCGTTGGACAGAAAAAAACTATTCCCCGGACAACTGCCCGGACACAGATGTAACTTTCCACAAATGCGTCTGAGTGTTTGTTTCCTGGTGCTTATGTACACTTTAAACACACCAGAGGATTTACATTTGAGATCTCCCTGTGAATTACTGTTTGGCCAAATCTCCTGAGGCGCCTCACGATAATTCCAAAAACATACATATTGCATAAACATAATACTTTTTTTTTTTTTATTTAAATATAAAAAAACAAAAAAAAAGTGTTAATATTTTTCATATAAGTATTATACACAAACAATAAACTTCATTTAATTGAATGTAAAATATCATATCCAAAGAATAAATCCTTCGAATCTGCCTGTTCAGTTTCTGTTTGAATGTAACAGAGTTAAATGAAGACCGCTCGTCTCTGGCCAATGGTCTCTGCAGACCGTTTTAACTAGCTGAAGACACCGCACGTCTAACTTATTCGGCTCTGGTAAACTAGTCTGTAAATTATCCCACAGAGGCTAACTGTCTAGATGACCTGTAAATTGACCAATCTCATAATCTCCCTCTACAACTGGCTTGGGCCACCTTTATTTTCCGCATGGCACGATGTACTGTACCAGTTCTCGCCGGCCTCTGAGTTCTATGGCAAACGTGGTACGTGAACTGCGTACCGACTCAATCCGGACAAAAGTAACTCGTCGTTGGTGCTTACCCTCTACAAAAAAGCACATGGGACTATTGCTATCCATGAGTAGTTTTGGAAAAATAGCTCTGAATAGAAGCGTTCTGTCGAAACACTACACTGTTTGAATAAATGCACCGTTTTGTTCAGCACAACACACTACCGGAATAATACTCCCCCCATACCTACTATAATTTCTATTTTCCGCAATCATATAATCTACATATCCGCATACGCATTCTTATCGATACGAATAGCAATATAATAATGATTACCTCAGTTAGTTTCGTTCAATGCATGGTACATGTCGTGATAGCGTATCGAACATCGTTGCAGAAAATTACTTACCAAAAAGTCATTTTCAAGATATTGAGTTACAATAGCTAAATCATGGATGCAGATTCAGCTATGCTACCACATCACTCGAACATCCCAGCCATCTAAGACATGAGGCGCCGTACTAACAGTCCTTAGGCTACGCACACTTAAAGACAACATTCATATCATGACAGCAGAATTCACAGATCCATAAGTGCTATATCATACTAATAACAGTTTACCCTCACTTGAGTTTAACTCACACCAATACATACTTCGCTCAATATTGTAAAGCATCAGTGACTGCAACATTTTAATACACTTCGCTCTAATTCATAGTTAACACACGTTTTTGGGAGATGTCATCTAGTCTTAGAACTGAGATTTTCATTTCATAATATAGGCCAACACCTTTGATAGAAAACGGTCCACCCGGCTCGCTAACACTGTACCACTTGAAAGATACCTATTACAAAAAAAGCAAATTAATTGATTATTTTTGAGACAGTGTTGTTTGAGCACATGGGTGTACCCGCTTATAAAATGTCAATTACCCTATTGATTAGGACATGCCTTCTGTCACTATAAATTATACTCAGTAAAAAATCAACCACAAACCTGTTTTCTATTATGTTAATACATAATGTATACTCAAGAAAAAGAAAGTCATGAGTTATCTTTATCTCATGGACAAAGAAATTATTGTTGCTTTTAATACCCAACATAAGTAATATTCTAAAGTACCTGGACATTCACGTGCTTTCTTCAGCCCCCCACAGCATAAACACAATTTGATCAAAAATATGCTTACAATAAACTTTTAACACCATGTTGTTCAATCTGAATGGTGTCATGCTGTATGATAGTACCAGATTGAAATGGACAGCGCTTTGCGGTGAACCACCCTAAACATTTCGATCTATTCTATACCCAACTGCTCAGTCCTACTTTTAAACCGCCTCGCTGAACACACCTCTCATTTCTTTGGCATTTGATAGTTAAGCTTTACACCATAGATTACATGTTTTGTTCTGCTGAAATTGTTTATTTTCCTTTATTGTATTCTGGTGCCTGTTCAACACTTTAGTAACTTTGTTGTTTATTTTTAAAGGTGGCTACACAAGTTTGTCCTTCAAACTGTTGTATACTCATTTCCACAGTTGTTCTCTAAAACAAGACGAAAATGTACACTAATCCAACATAAAGCTGCAGACACGCGACACTAAACAGAACCGGAGTTTCCCATGCATATTTATGTAGTGAGTTCTTTGTTCCCTGGTGTTTCATCTCCTGACAGCAGTTTTGCAATTATTGTATGGGTTCTATTTTTTAAGCTTGGAACAGGAAGAGTATTTCAGACGCAATAGCCTCGCTCTGAGCGCACAACAGCTTGTGAAAACGGATGGCAAACATATTTTTGCTATTGATTTTATCAGGAAAAATAAATATAGCTATCTCAGGCCCAGCTTTTATAGTGTGATGATCTATGCTCCTTCTGTTCTGAAGCATCTTTGGGGGGGGGAAAGACAGTATCAGCTGAGGAACTGTGACTGAATGAATGTGGAGGAATGTAAGCTGATTGTCCTGGATGTACCGTAGCTTCAGTCCACATGGCTAGGTAAACACAAGTAAGCCTTTTAGCTGGTGGTGTGTGTGTGTGTGTGTGTGTGTGTTGTGTGTGTGTGTGTGTGTGTGTGTGTGTGTGTGTGTGTGTGTGTGTGTGTGTGTGTGTGGTGTGTGTGTGTGTGTGTGTGTGTGTGTGTGTGGTGTGTGTGTGTGTGTGTGTGTTGTGTGTGTGTTGTGTGTGCGCCAGCCACCATTTACTCATCAAGACGAACCAGGAAAAGTCCTTTCAAGAAAGATTTTGCTCCGTGTTTTTGAGTACGAAGAAAAAAACAAATGCTTTGTGTATTTTTACTAGGATTCCTTCCATGTATAAACATCAGACCTTAATGCTCTTTGCACACACACACACACACACACACACACACACACACACACACACACACACACACACACACACACACACACACACACACGCACGCACGCACGCGAGAACTGAGCCTTGCAAAGACATATATATGTATGGATATAGTTAAGGTTGTTTACCCTACAACCATACACTCAAACATAGTGTGTACAAACAGAAAACCAACTTCTTATAAGTTATGAATGTATCAGTCAGTTATATATGACTGTATGAAATTAAACTTGCTCATGTGCTAATAAAACCAGTCGCACAATGTATCTAAGTGCAATTCATCAAATATGTTATTGTATGCTCCTTTACAGTACATGTCTTCTCTGCTACATTTTATAGGGAAATATACTTTTGACCTCTGAGCGTGTTTCTGTCACATACAAAACCATAAACAGATCCAAGAGTAAGTAAGAGGGCTGTTCAGACAAAGCATGAGCGCACTGTGCTGATTAAACTAATAGTGACTGTACAATGTTATAATGTCAGTATTGTGTGGACAACCCACTGAACTACCCCATGTGGCGAATAAACAAATGTTTTTCTTTTTGAATAACTTAACATTGTGGTATTATTACCACTTTTACTACTTCCATCCCTGGCTTACATACTTATAAGCACAAATAAAGCAAGTATCCCTCCCAGTCACAGTGTGAATTAGATGCTCCTCTGCAGCGGGCCTGCAAACAATAACTCTGGGTGGTCCAGTCACAGAGCTGTTGGCGCTTCTCAGAAGAGTTCGACTGAAACCATAAATCATGTACCTTTGCCAAAGACCCGGAAACAGTGACAACATATTATAACTACTTTGTCTTTGGTTAGGGTAAGCAGACAACATAGTTTATGTTGTGCATTGCTTGTTAAGCCTCAGTGAGCTCCAGTGCGGGTGTCACCAAAGAAGATAACTTGCTGTCACTCAAGAAGCCTGCAGCCTTTTTCCCCCTTAGCACACTAACCTCTCCTCTCCCTGTTTGCTTTGCCCTAAGCCAGGTTTCCATCAGCGTGATGGTCCATGCTTAATGGCTTTATGCTGTGCCTCATAGAGAGAAGCCCACCAGAGTTTATCAGGAAAGGCTCTCGTTCCCATGTACCTTCCTGGTCCCCGCAGACCCCTGCATTCCTTCTACATGGGGAACTAGAGCCTTCCGGGAATTTTCCTGACAAAGCAAGCGTTTACAAGCTAATGGAGTAAAACCTGCCCATGGGGCTGGCCGGAGCCTCTTCTAGGGGAACAGGCTCTGTGATGCAAATCCTTCTACCTGCAAAAAGAGGAAGCAGAGATTTATGCGCTACACAGGTACACATGCTGTTTATTATCACACACACACTTTGAGTACATCAGTCAGAACATAGGTGCTGTCCCGACTGTATATGTCTTCAGCAGTGATTTATAAAGGATGTAGGGATGTGATTTAAAGGCATATGCTTGAGCAAGCAGTCACTGTCTGTTTGTTTACTGGAGTCCTGTGGGAATCTTGATGGGATTGTAAATGTTCTAGGTGCAGCTGAAAATAGTGGGGGAAAGGTGTGTGTGTCTGTGTGTTTGTGTGTGGGTATGTGTGCTTGTGTGTGGGTATGTGTGCTTGTGTGGGTATTTGTGCTTGTGTGTGGGTATGTGGGTATGTGTGTGGGTATTTGTGCTTGTGTGTGGGTATGTGTGCTTGTGTGTGGGTATTTGTGCTTGTGTGTGGGTATGTGGGTATGTGTGCTTGCGGTCCTCTCTGATGAGCACACACAAAACACAGAACAGAGGACTCGCTGCGTCAGGGCTGTGAATAAAAGATGAAATAATGTATGCACTGGAGGCAGCATGCATGAACACATTTCATACTGCTTTAATAAAATTGCCGTTGACTGAACTCTGTTGTTCTCCAATTCTTATTCTCTAGTCACGTTGTAATTTTATAGCAAAGCCTTAGTCGGATCCTAAAGCTAGAATACTTTAATATCAAATAGTACATTTCCACACGTCACTGTTACGCCAAAACAAACCTCAGAGTGGTTGCTTCAGTTCTCATGCCAAGGTCAGGTCCAAATTGTTTTGTTATTCAACTGTTCATTAACTTTGAAATCCCCTCTTTGACGTAGATCGCCTCCTCCAAAAGAAATATTGCCTTCTGTCGCAGTCAGACTTATGGCTTCATAAAAACATTTTACAGTGGAACTGTTACACCCAGCCCTGTTGTCTGAGACATGCACTGTGCACTGAACCAGAACACATCTATCAAATTCTCATCGCTTAAATAAGACCTACAGTACGAGCAACAAAATAGAGACAAATGTGGCTCGAACCTTTTATATTTTTGTATTAATGTACGCGACTGATCCTGTGGCCTTTTATTATGTAATTCATAAATGTGACAAAAGGTCTTTCAGTAGAGATATACATCAATAATTTAGTTTTTTCAAGTGGTTAAATTAGAGTTGGTGGATGATGGGCAAATGCACTATTTATCTTAATGTTGTCCATGTTTTCTGATGAACATGATCCAATGACATATGAAAAGTAGGCAGAAAGTGACCCCTAACCTTAATTAGCTGATCAACAAATAAGTTACCTTTGGGGAAATGTCTGGACCACAGGATGAGTGACAGCGCCAAGTTATGTTAGATTTGACTTACTAAATTGTAGTGTCATAACCTATTTATTCTGACAGAACTCTTCCAAACAAGTGTGCTGTGGCCTTAGTGGCTGCTATTGTTGTCATACTGTGCATTGTTTAAATCACCTGGGAATTAAACCACACAAAGCCCACTGGCACCTTGCAGACTGAAATGAGCAGAGTCTTGTTAAACAAACAAACAAGTGAGTGCTGTGTTCCCTTCTGCGCTCTCCAGGCCGCAGCAGTTATCCTGACTGGACCATTATACACTAATGGCGTTGGCATGCTGTTTTGAGGTGGGCTGCCAGGTCTACCCAGCCAGATCCCCTCTTTTTCACCCTGCTGAATGTGCAGAGCTGGGAACTAAAGTGATACAGAAGGAGTCGTCCAGAGAGCATACACAAGGAATAACGGCTTATACATAGATAATATTACAAAACAAAACACATGAGGTTATACAAAATATTTTATACTGTTCATTTAGGCTTCAATAGGAAGATATTTGCTTTGTCAGTGGTTGTGACACATTTCGTGCCGTCGGTTTTGAGGTCAGAATATGGAGTACTCCCATTGTGGTTTTCTCAAGGCCATGGCATCCTTTTTGCCCGTGCTTTAACCCTGGGAGAGTGACAGGTCTATCTCTGGTAGAGACTCAAACACTGAGCTTTTAGGATCAGGCTAAGTCTGTCCCAGGAAACGTGAAGATGATAAATCCCATTAGTCACACTTCAGAAATTAGCCGAGTCTGAGGAAGAAAGTGTGAAGAGTATGGGAGGGGAAAACAGAGAGCAGAGTGTGAAATATATCATGATGTACATGTGCATTGTTAACAGGCATGCAATTCTTCATTAAGTGTTCGCTTTACAGGCCGGTGCCTGAGACAGGGATTGCGAGTGTGTGTGTGTGGATGCCAGCCAGCCAGCTTTTATGTGTGCTAATCTTCACAAACACACAAGTGTGTTCCTCATTCCCTGCACATGGCCTCCTCTGCATTGGCAGCCCCCCCTAAATAGTTCCCTTTCCTCCGGCGATGACGCAAATGACCCACAATGACTGACCCCCGCGGTAAAACCTGTAAAACATTAGCCAGCGTGAATAGGAATGGCTCTCCTTAACCCCCTCCCCCCCCCCCGCCTACCCCTTCAGCGGGCAGGGAAGGATTTATAAGTGTCCTGCCAGCTGGCTGCTGTTCCCCAGGTGGATGTGGCAGAGCAGGAGGCGTGGCCAAGCTTTCCGAGTCACCTGGACTTAGAGCCAGACAGTTTGGGTCAGACATTTCTGGCTGCCTGTATCTAAGTGTCTTTTCCTTCAGTTTGACTGAATACTGCAGCCCTATTAATTCTCAGCACTGTAATGTCTATTTTCCTTTTGCCTTCTAGCATTACCATTGCCTTGTGTCCAATTAAATTCAGGACAGCCTATGAAGCGATTTTCCAAAGAGGGCGCAAATGTAAATGCAAGAGTGGAAAATACAGGGAGTAAGAGAAAGTAACATTAAAGATAGAAAGAATACGAACACACACACTAATTCACTTCTTTAATATTGCTCATTATGTGGAAATCTAGGCTTTTTTTAGCCTGCTATATTGTCAGTGAAGTTAACATAAAATAGACCGTTTCTGTAGTCCATATGCTAAATATAGAATTCTTCAAGGCTGAGAGAAAGTCTGTATCTGTCTTCTTTTCAGAGTGAGAAATAGATGAAAAGCACCAGGTAGACTAGAGGGTTCAGCTATCAGCGTCCTGCAATACAAGCTACTTTATACAACATTACTTTCTCCAACTGATGCATACAAATTCAACCATTAACCACAAAGGCAATCATGTAAATATACATGTCATAATTCTTTTAAAGAACACTTATAAAACAAAAAGGACTGTTTTCCAAAGAGGATGTGATACCAGTCATGAGAATGCTTCCACCTGTGGGTGCAAAAGAAAATTACAACTGATTTTAAAAGCCATGATGAGCAATATAGAGTTTACCATGGCACTAACGACCATGAAAGTGAGAACAAGGATCTTTGGTTGCTGCTTTGACGGTGTCCTCACGGCTAAGCCGCTGTAATTCTGAAGCCTTCATACTGTATAGTAAGAGTCAAATCTGACCTACTTTCAAGTGGGTGCGGGGTTCTCTGAGTCAAGCACTGCATACGTCAGAATATCTTTGACAGAGAGCAGTGATAAAAGAACAAAGGCGGAATCAGTAAAAACATATTCCAAGACCTTGAGGCAGAAAGTGTGAGACAGATGTGTGTAGGTGCACATACTTAAGTAAGCAGATGTGTGAATTCATGACTTTGCAGACCCGATTGTAAGTGAGAGCATAGTGAATTTAATTGGACAGGGAGGTGGTGCATGAAACCCTTGGGTCAAGCTGATAGGAAATCCTGCAGTCTGATCTGCTGGCCCTTCAACACTGCCTTAATTATCCCAAACATACTGTAAGATCAGCATTCTCTCTTTTTCTCCCTCCCTTCTCTAAACCACGAGATCTCTTTTTTGCACTTGGTGTTGTGTCCTCGATGGACTCTGAATTTGGGTCCCAGTAAATCCAGTGCACTAACAAGCTAACATAGATACTGAACATCCAAGGAGACACACATCAACTCCACTCATATGAAGCCAGTAATGAGGGACAAAATAGGACTTGGGAGACAGAGAAAGAATGAAGGAGGCAAAGAAAAATGAAGACCCGATCATGAGTGAATGATTAAGAAACATCGCTAGCAGTTATCACTGGGTTATATTAGGACGAGGCAGCTTCCGGTTCCCTTTCCAGACAGATTTAGAAAAGTGCTCAGTAGTAAGTCGATGACAGGGGCTCATTGGGAGGCTTCAGGATGATCAGTGTGAAAGTGGAGCCCCTCTCTGGGTGCTGCAGCTCCCACCACTTCACACCCACAGGGGAAGTGGTTCTCAACTGGTTACTGGCGGGAGCAAGTCAAACAACAGGCAGGTTCCAGTAGTTTGTTTTTGCTTTGACACAGTGGTGTTTACCCAGCACCTCAGAGGCACGGCAGCTTGCTGTGGGCTGTGGCTCGGAGCCATGGTGGTGGACAGGGCCCGGCTGCTTACTGGCATCCACGCTGCTGCCCTCTTAACACTCTGAGGCAGGCAGGTAGCTCATTTACAGAGCGCAGCAGGCATGTTTTGGCTGGCTTCTTCATCTGACATGTTCACATCATCTACTTGGGAGTATCCTTTCCTTTATTGACCTTATTGCATACACATTTAAACACACTGTCATCATGCTGGACAGTTTATCTTTTATGAACACACAGGTTATAATCTTAATCTGTAAACATCCCCTTATCCATAAACTATTCTACTCTTTTTGTAAGATATTTGGGACAAAATCCAGTGTCCTTGTGTTATGCAATAAAGGATGTTAATCTCATTTTCAACTTATATAAGGTTTCATCAGTCTCTATGTCTGTCCTGGTAGGAACGTGAAGGTCAATTTCTAGTGTTTGGTTCCTGCAAAAACCCTTTTTGTAACAACTATGAAGTAGTATCCTTCTTTCACAGATAAGCAGTTAATCAGTTTCCTGGAAAAGACAAAGAGGAATTTTTGCATGAACAACACTCACTCTATTTGTTGCTCAGACTGGAGTCTCCTTCAATGACTCAATTGATCCACCTTCACCCCAATACAGTGTCAGTGAAAGGAATGTTGTTTGTGTTCAACAGCAATGTGTCTTTCCAGGAACATTGACTTGGTGATTCACTTTGTGCAGGCTTCATAGGTGGAAAATAGTTTCAAAGAAATATGTGGGCAGTGAGTTCTTTGGGCTACCCACAGTAACCTGAACAAGGTTCCTGGAAAAAAAAACATTGCTGGTGTTGAAGTTCTTTAATGTTATTCTCTAGTCTTGTGGGCACCGTAATGGGGTCTAGTCATTGTTTCGCAATAAGGGGAAGTTCAAATCTAGGTCCAGTCGTAAATTGATTGAATTCAAATGTCTAAAAACAAGTGGAAAGTAGAAACAATATTGATCAAGCTTCCAGTCTCTGACACTCCATGTTGTTGGAGCATGAATGCAAACATGACTAAAATGTTTAAGTAAAAGATGAAAACCTCAATACAGACAATGCCACAATCACTTTGTATTATAAATATATTTGTATCAGTATTCAAATGAAACTAAATTGAGAAATGTTGAATATGATATGGTACAGATAATGGTTCACATGAGTTCAGTATGATTTTATCATCTCAAATTTATTTGATGGAAGGTTCCCTTTTACTTGGCAGCACTTTCTATTGCTGTAAGCTGAACTTCACTGTTATCATTTTTTTCCTCTTGTTTGTTTCTTTCTCAACAGTTTAAATCGGGTGGAAAGAAGTAGAGAAAATCTCCACAATGGAGCGGGAGTCCCATAAAAATGGTTGGACCTTATTGAGTGTGTCATGTTGTGCCGTGATTGAAAGACATATCTTCTAAAGACAGTCTATAAATTACCAGCATTGCTGTAAATCATGGAAAGCCACTGCTAGACCTGAAGTATTCCTAGTTATTGGGCGTCATAATGAATCTAGCAGAGGGTGAAACAAAGGGCATAACTTCTACAAAGTTGTTATTTCTCCCAGTAGGTGCACTGGAGGACAAAAACAATTCCATTTGGAACCTCGTCTGTGTTTTTTTGCTTCCTGGAGGGTGTCCATGAAAAACCAGGAGATATCTACAAAGTCATTCATGTGTGGTTTTACCTCTTTAGACATAATATTGGCAGCAAACTATCATATGTTTTAAGTATAATCTCCTCTGTCTTCCTGAGGCAAAACAAGGTAATAACGTTTGAACTGAATTTATTTCCTTGCTTTGTGTCAGTGTTGTTTCTTAAAGTTTTAGCTGAACACACATTACAGTGTAGTACTAGTATTTGTATTGTTGTTGATGTGGTTGTTTGCAGTGATATATACATTGTAGGTTCATTATCAAGTTCTGCTTGGATTATGTTTTATCTCGTGATTTATATTGTCGCTTTTTGTCTTTCAAAAAGGTGAATAAATAGTTTGTGTTACAGTAATTTATTGTGTATTCTTACACCAGGGGTTTGAAGCCTGAAAGCCCTAACACCAAAGCTTTATTTACGAATTCTCCAGCACTTGTCAAACATTCAACACAGTGGCACCAGACTGCATCCACTGTTTGGTTTAGTAAGTGAGTAGTACACCATCCACATGTATTTGTTGATCAAATGTTTTGACCGAGTCTCAAAGGAAACAAACTCCACTGTGGCCTATCAAGTCCCTCTGTGCAAGAGGCTATCTGCGACACTCAGCCTTGATTTTGTGTGGGTTTTTTGTTTTGGCACATCAAAGGGCCCATGTAGACTTCTATGTAGTCTGGTTCTGTCTCTCAGAGCTTGGAGATGAAAGGTTGGGTTGCGTAAGAACGAAAAGGCTGTTTATGTGAGTGCGCCTGGAGAACCTCACTGATACTAGGAGCTTCTAATGGAGCAGGACTCTGCCGTGACCATGGAGGAGCTGCTGCCAACTCGGTGCTGTAAAAGCAAAACCCAGTCGTCAGAGCAGTAAACTAGCACAACTGGCTGGTTAATACTATCATTCACAGTAATTTACATCTCATACATGAGCCTTTTACGCAGCTGATTGCTTGTTGTCTTCCTTTTCCATCTAGTATGGTTATTTTAATGCATGAGAAGGCACATGCACGCTTGATGGAGCTTGAAAGTGACTCACAGATATTATCATGCTGACAATCTGAGAATCCGAGCTCTTCAGAGCTGCAGTCCACGTGCTGGAAAATGGAAGATAAGTGAAGGAGATGTTGGCTGAGAAAGGGCAAACCCCTCATCTATTGCATTTTCTTTATTTAAACCAAATGTCAAACATTGGAAATGAATATGTGTACATCGTGTTGTGTGTGATAGCTTTAGTGGTGTTTGTTGGTTATTGTAAGGAAATCACAAAAATGCAATACAAAAGGTTTACCTGCTATTTCACCCAGCTTGATTTACAATACTGGTATTTAAAGGCCGTGAAAAGACATTTCCTTGATTAATTGTCAACTTACATATTTAATAAACAGTGCAAATATACCTGTGTTTTCAGCCGTCAAATATAGACAAACTAAACTACCTTATAATAAGGCCACAGAAGCAGTTACTACTTTGTTTTAAACAAAAACAGCACAGTTGGAAAACACTCAACAAAACAACAGCTAAGTCCAGACAGGCCGTCACACTGGCGACGGAAACCCACTGTTTCCTAATGTTCTCACTCACAGCATGACACAATTCAATGAC